TGACCTGTGTGCCAAGGTGTCAGAGCTAATGCAAGCGGAAAGGTGAGCAGAGCACTCGGGCAGGCTCTGCTTCCCTCTAAGAATGTGTAGTATCTAGAAGCTACTTTGAGAATGGGGCTCTTCACATTGTAACCACTGGGGTCTGTGAGTTCTCTGAAAGTTAGGCAAATTCTGTGCTCATGATATTTTTCTAAGGAGAGGATCACCATTTTCATCAGATTCTCAAAGGTGTTTATGACCAAAAGGGAGTGAAGACAGATCTGAAAGAGTATGTGGCAGGCAGTGCACAGGGAGGAACAAACCTACTGCTTCCCTTCCTGATGCAGGGCTGCTGCTCTTCTCTTTTCCACTGCAGTCTCCTTCCTGCTGCACCCTAAGGGGATCACACTAGATGATTTTTAATTTCCCTTTCTACTTTAAAATACCATGACAAAGAAACATCAGTAGCACATATGCTTGCTCACAGTAACACCTCAGTCCCCAAAGCCTAAGTTTTTCTTATTTGTGAAGGAGCATGTAGCCTCAGAACCTGAGTACACAGCTTGTGACATGTTCCCAATAACTGTGACAGTCGTATCCCCCTTAAATCCTGGATGTGGGCATACACAGCCTCAATGGAGATATGACTGACCACTGTGTCACTATGATAGTTGATTGTTATCAACTTTTCTGATTAAAAACAAACAAACAAAAAATCAAATGACTGCCTTCTTGTGTAAAAGGTAATCTCATGCTTAATTCATATGAACAGCCACAGAATTTCTGAGGCAACATTAAGTAGCTGATATGGAGTTACTGTGAAATATTAGCCCTCACTGTCCTCTTCTCCTCCCAAAAAAACATACTCGTGTATCATTTCAGTCATTAAATAAAAAGTATTTTAGTACTGTCTACATTGGATTTGGGTAAATCTGCTGCAAAAGACCTCTTTAAAGTGTTAAAGAGCAAAAATGTCACTTTGAAGATAAGGTGCATCTGACTCAAGCCATGGTATTTTCAATCACCTCATATGCATGTGAAAGCTGGACAATGAATAAAGAAGAATTGATGCATTTGAATTGTGGTGTTGGTGAAGAATACTGAAAATGCCATGGACTGCCAGAAGAACAAACAAATCTGTCTTGGACAAAGTGCAGCCTGAATGCTCCTTAGAAGCAAGAACGGTCAGGCTTCACCTCTTGTACTTTGGTCATGTTGTCAGAAGGGATCAGTCCCTGCCAAAGGATAGTCATGCTTGGTAAAGTAGAGGGTCGGCAAGAAAGGGGAAAAACTGCAATGAGCTGGATTGGCACAATGGCTGCAATGATGGACTCAAGCATGGCAAAGATTGTGAGGATGGTGCAGGACCAAGCTGTATTTCGTTCTATCATGCATAGGGTCGCTATGAGCAGGAACCAACTAGACAATAACTAACAACTACTTTGGAAATGGGGAGGGAGGTAAGACAGAAATGGAACCAAGAACATCAAGTATTTTCCTTTTCTAGAAACCTTTTAAAATAAGATTAAATTAACTCTGGATATGTGAATCTAGAATGATTTTAGTCCTTCTTTTAAGCAGAGAAGAGAAATTAAGCTACTCCTGTGATTTTAAGTATCAGACATCCTAAAGTGCCTCAAAACCAGTAAGGAAATTAAAGCGGTTCAAGTCATGAACAAAACCATAAGCACCATTGAAGATTTAAAATAATACAAAACCAAAAAACCAAACTCACTACACCACTGAGTCGATTTCAACTCATAGCGACCCCCTTTGGGTTTCCAAGGTGGTAAATCTTTACAGAAGTAGACTGCCCAGTCTTCCTTCTGTGCAGTGGAGTGGCTGGTGGGTTTGAACCACCAACCTTCTGGTTAGGAGTCAAATGCCTTAGGCACTATGCCACCAGAGATCCTTAAAGTAATACAAGTTAAGGTTAACTGGTAGATTCTCCTGTGCACACCTTGTGAGTAAACAATTATAATACTCCTCTATTCAATTTTGTACTTGTACATTTTTGAAGTAAAGCTTACTGCCATGGATTATAAAAAATTACATTCAGCACTTTGAAGAATATTTTCAGCAATTTCAATATGAAAACACTTGCTGTTATGGATTGAACTGTGCTCCCTCAAAATATGTGTTGTAAATCCTAACCTCTGTGCCTATGGTTATAATCCCTTTTGGGAATGGGTTGTCTTTGTTATGTTAATGAGGCAGGATTAGTATAGGGTGTATCTCAAATCGATCTCTTTTGAGATATAAAAGAGATTAAACAAGCAAGCAAGAGAAGCGGAGATGAGGGAAGAAAGGTGCCAAACCACATGAAGACTGCCCAAGAGCAGAAGCTGAAAGAGACAAAGACCTTCCTCCAGAGCCAATAGAGACAGCAAACTTTTCCCTAGAGCCTGAATTCAGATGTCTAGCCTCCTGAACAGTGAGAAAATAAAGCTGTGTGATAAAGCCATCCAGTTGTGGTATTTCTGTTATGGCAGCACTAGATAACTAAGATACTTGCTAATGTTGACTGAAATCACAACACTCCAACATCCACTTGTGTTCATGTTAGATGTGTAATCAGAGATGCTGATGTAGAAATATACAGTCAAGTGTCACTTAAAAACACACAAAAATTGGACATGCTATACATTTCTCTTTTAAAATGTAGTCTGTATTATTTTCACCAATCAAAACACACATAATATATTTTATTATAAAAACTTAGGCAATGTTACTTTTGAGATATGCAATCTGACAGGTCACATCTATATCTATTACCAGTATGAAATACTGGAGGAGTTACTGTAAAATCAACCAGATGAACTCATCCGTAGTTATCATGACTTACACAGCATTAAATCCTGATTAAACCAGTATCCCATTCAGTGTCGTTACTACAGATTCTGGGTATAAGCCAGGGGTTCTGCACAGGGCTTTCTCTTTCCAGCCATGGGCTCTGAACTTCATGTTCCAAAGCAGAGCCTGTTGCCTGTCTCCTCCATGACCAAAGGTAAGTCACTTGTTGAGAAGCAGAGTTTCTAAACTACTCTCATATTCTCTTAGGACTCTGTCTGCTCTCTGGAACTTGCACTTGAAATCAGGACCCGACATAGAGGAGGCAGTCATTTCTTTTGTGACTGAAAACTAAGCCAATAAACAAAATAAACCTAGCCCCAATTCCAGGATAATAATAAATTACCTGGTTTATAAAAATACATGTCCAAAATAGTTACTTCCAGGGTTGTGTACAATATAAATTACAAAAATAAAATAGAAAAGATGAAAAAGTTGAGCACACTTGTCAATTCTTTATCCAACATCAGCTTTTATCCACAGAGATCGGTTTGAAACCATGTGCACTGCACCAGGACCATGGCAACTCTAGGCTCAGGATGGAGGATCCTGAGATAGGGTGAGGTATTTCTATGAAGACTTGTTGTCTCCAGCCCTGTGGCCTTTCCCAGATACACTCACCTCTCCCTCATGGAAGATGGTCTTGGCAGGAAGCTTGTCCCTAGCATCACAGCTTCATCTCTGACAACAGGCCCACGGAATGGCACAGAGGGACAAGGGAGCAAAAAGCCAATCTGTGAGCACTTCACTCCAATTACAAATGTCTTCTGGTAACGGGACCTTGGTGCACCCTCATAGCTGGGGTGCTGCATTTACATAGCTTTCAGGGCAGGTTGTGAAATTTAAAAAATCTCCCTTTTCTTTGTTTTTCCTTTCAAAGACAGATATAGTAAAGTCTTTTTAAAGAAAATATATTAGAGAGAAGGCCATCTTAAGATGTTTATATATGCATAGTGAGTGATATCTTCCTTCATTTTACTATCAGGCCACCAACGCCAAAATAATCCCTAACCACATAAGAGGTGTATCTGCTTCAATCCAAGTTAGTATATCCATTTTTTACTAGAATGTGTCTAATGACACAATATAAAACTATTTCCTATTTCAATATTAATTTTGTTCATCAAAGATTCTACTTTACAGTGATAAGACCAACCAGTAAGATACAATTGGTGTAGGGAGAATCATGTATTTTAGACAGTATTTATAATAAACTTTCTTATCAAAATTCCTCCTCAGAATACATTCTATAGAATGTTGAACAAATCATGTCCAAAATAATTAAACACAAGATATGAATCTGTAACAAAGTAAGGTCAAAGGAAAAAACATTATGAGCACAGGTAGCTGAAATGTGATCACTGTAACTCCATTTCTGCAACAACATTTAAATACTCAGTATCTTCATGACTTTTGAATAATTTACATATCAAAAAGTCTGAAAGTATCAATTTCAGGTGAGCAGTTTTAAATCATAAAACAGGCCATAGTTAATCATTACTCTTTAAGATACTTCCTCCCTCTCCCTCTGAAGAGTTTTCCTAGACCATTCACAGCTCCCCTTAGGGACAGGAAATGTCTCCATAAGTGGGAAACAAGGACAAACAGGCATTCCAAATCAGCCTTGCTTCCTAAAATGGACTAAAGGGAAATTTATGTCTAACATGGTTTCTTTCAGAAGAGAAATAAAATTGAGTAAAGATGCTCTGTTAGAAAAGGGAAACACTGCCTTGTCTAATCATGCATTCTACCATAAATGATATAAGGTAAGGAAAAGACCCAGTCCAGTCATTGCCTCAAAGCACTCAGCAAATGGCTGTGATTATCTATAGTGAATATTTTGCAAAATTCTACTCTAGCAGTAGGTAATGGATTCAAGAATCTACTTGCCATCATATTATTGAGTTGGAGTGTGCCTAATGAAGTTAAAGTTCTAGGTAATATTTTAAATTAATAATAAGTTCAGAAGACTAAGAAGTAAGAGGTAAGGCAGATAGGGTTAAAGGTATACATGTCTTCAGCAGTACAAAACAAAACTTAAAATTGTATCATGCAGTAAAGCTGAATTTACAGATCATCCCAATTCAAGACAATCTAGAGAAAAGAAAGAGAGCATATAAGTGCCTTGGTTTTAGAGTGATAATTCTCAGCCCAAAACATCACAAATTAAAGAAAAGTTATATATTTATTGAATAGATATTCCCTTTCAGCTGAAATACAAAAAAGAGTAAATGATGACACCATAAAATAGAGTAAGATATGATATGCTGATGGCCAATTCATACACATAAAACTATTTTTTCTGGACAGACACCAAATTACTTAAGAAGATTAAGAGATAAATCTAGAAGCATTACTACCTCAAAGATTATTTGGCATTGAAATACCGATTTCCAAAGTGCTAGATGGGCAAGACCAAGCAAGCATTTGTGGTCACATGCACATAAGTCCCAACAGATACTGATGATAAGAAATTGTCACTATCACCAAATAACTGTAAAAAAAAAAAAAAAAAATCTATTCTAATTGCTCACCTGAAATGATCTTGAACAAAATCTCTAAAAGTGTAGCTTGCACTTTTTTTCTTCAGACATAATCTGCTTCATTTTATAATCTAAGCAGGCAATCCTAGGAGAACTGAGTAAGGGCAAGGCATTGTGTTTCTTACATGCAGAACATGGAGCTTCTTTATTTGGTTCCATCAACTCCCAAGCACTGCAGGCCCAAGGAAGTGAGAGTTCCTTCACTGATGATAAGTCTGCGATTACTAACTTATCATCGGCAACCTTCCAGAGGTCCCGTCGAGGCATCGAGGCTGCTGTCGGTATCTGAGGCCAGTGTCTGCTCAGTGGACATGGATGAAATGTCGTTGATAGATGACGACTGAGAAGGAGTGGCGTTGCTACTTACTGCTGCATCTGTGCTAAGAAAACCAAATATCATAAAATCTGAGGCATGACACTGCTGGAATTCCAGGTAATGAGACTTAAGGCCATTTCTCGACTCTGTCCTTCTGCAGTCTCCCAGTCCTAATTATTAGTATAAACAAGTAGTTAGTAAATTATGTATTTTTAACTTTTCTTCAGTCTTTCTTTAGGCCCAGAGCCCTGAACAGCCCTGTCTCTTTCTCTACAACATTCTCCTTTTCTTCCCAGAGGCTAAACATCACATGTGTAGTCATGTGTAATCACGTTAACTACTCAAGACATACCTACTGGTTTCAAAGAGAAATCAAAAGAAAATTGTTGACTATCTCCTAAAACTATCAGTATAACAAAAGGCTAAGCCCAAAAAGGATTCAAGTCTTGTCAGACATTTTAATACAACAATAAACTCTAAGTCTAAGGGAAAAAAGCATCAACCTTCAAAGAAATCTTATGCAACAAAAACAGCTCCTGAAATAAGGACTACATACCAAAGGAAAGAAAAAGTGAGTGGCTCCTTGTTTATTTTATTTTTGTTTTATGAATCTAGGAAACTGACATTTTAGTCTTTCAAGGCAAGGCCAATGGAGGCAGCGGGCAAGAAATCAGATGATGTATTGCACTGGGCACGTCTGCTGCAAAAGACCTCTTTAAAGGGTTAAAGAGCAAAGAGGTCACTTTGATAACTAAGGTGGGCCTGACTCAAGCCATGGTATTTTCAATATCGCCTCATATACATATGAAAGCTGGACAATGAATAAGGAAGACCAAAGAAGAACTGATGCATTTGAATTGTGGTGCTGGTGAAGAATACTGAAAATACTATGGATTGCCAGAAGAATGAATACCACTATCTGGAAGAAGTACAGCAGGAACGTTCCTCAGAAGTGAGAATTGCCAGACTTTGTCTCTTACTTTGGTCTCATTATCAGAAGGGACCAGTTCCTGAAGGATTGGTAAAGTAGAGGGTCAGTGAAAAAGGGTAAGACCCTCAACAAGCTAGGATTAACATAGTGGTTGCAATGATGGATGGGCTCAAGTATAGCAATAATTTTGAGAATAACGCAGGACCATGTAGTGTTTTGTTCTGTTGTACACAGGGTCGCTATCGGTAGGAACTGACTCAATGACACTTAACAACAACAACAAGGGAAAAGAAAGTTGTATTTCCTACTATCCATATTTTAGCCTGGTCTGAGCCAAAACAAAATATCCAGGCTCTCAAAGATCAGTGTCTGCAGTCTGAAATTTGATTAGTTAACAACAAGCACCTAAATTCTTGCTAAGTCGTATAATTTCCAGACATATAACATAAGAAAACCAAAACCAAACTCACTGCCATTGAGTTGATTCTGACTCCTAGTGACCCCCATTGGGTTTCCAAGGCAGTAAATCTTTATGGAAGTAGATTGCCCAGTCTTCCTTCAGTGGAGCGGCTGGTGGGTTTGAACTGCCAGCCTTCTGGTTAGCAGGCAGATGCCTTAGGCACTACTTCACCAGAGCTCCTTTAACACAGAGTCATATTGAAGATAAAATTCAAGAATAAGCAATGTAATCTACACTTTCTTGTGTGTGCTTTCCACTAAGACTGGGAGTGAGAGACTACTACCAACGTAAGTAAACATCACTAATGTTATAGTCTCTATAATTATAAAAAGGAGCCCTGGTGGTACGATGGTTAAGCACTCAGCTACTAACCGAAAGGTCAGCAGTTTGAACACACCAGCCACTCTATGGGAGAAAGGTGTGGCAATCTGTTTCCCTAAAGATTTACAGCCTTGTAAACCCTATGGGACAGTTTCACTCTGTCATACAGGGTTGCTATTAAGTCAGAATTTACTTGACAGCAATGGGTAATAATTATAAAGTTACCTAGTTTTTTGTCAGGCTTCTTTCACTAGGTAGGTCAAGTAGAAAAATAGGAGAATTACATGAACAATTTTTGAAAAAGAACATCAAGTTCCATTTTACCTAGATTTACATTAATGTTCTTTTTTAACTGGATGGGGTCAGTAGAGTCATATACACATCTGTAAATGGAGCTAACAGCAGTTGTTGTAGAGATAAAACCATAAACAATGGTTATAATGAATTCAGTTAGTTTAGAGCCTGGCACATCAATATAATGTTAGCTACTGCCACCTCCACCACCAGGGTGCCAAAAAGGAGACTACTTTACACAAGGGGCTTCCAAATCCGTTATAGGTCAAACTGGCATTTAACACAGAATGACCGTTTATAAAACTGGAATAGAGAAAGAAAAATATTGCACCATCAAAAAATTAAAGCAATCACTAACCTGAAGGCTGATCTTTTACAACACCATTCTTGCTTCTTTCTTCCCAATCCATGACTTCTTTGTAAATTAGCTCTTCAAACAGAAATGCAAGTTAAAATGCTCCATCAGTTTCTCTGGATCTTTAAAACCTGTTTCCCATTGAATTTTAGCCACTCTAAGGACCCTGGGCTCTGTCCTTTAAATTGTGATACAGTCAATCCAGTCATACAGTCTCCCCGGAGCCAAAACATTAAAGAGCCAAAAAAGTAGAAGAGGTCTGAGCCCACTAGGGGGTTTTGAAAAAAGAGGTAAATACTATCAAAGTCCTTGTGTTCCACATCCATTCTCACATAGTTCCCTCATCATTCCTAGTGGTTCTCTAGATGTAACCAGCATTTTCTGGTGGGTTATAAGACCTTCTTAAACCAAACCAAACCAAACCACTGCCATGAGTAGATTCTGACTCATGGCAACCCTTTTTTAGAACAAAATAGAAATACTCCATAGGGTTTCCAAAGCTGTAAGTCTTTATGGAAGCAGATTGCCTCCTTATCTTTGTCCTATGGAATGGCTAGTGGGTTTGAATCACTGACATTTTGGTTAATAGCCAAATGCTTTTGATCAATCACCACCAGAGCTCCTTAAGCCCCTCTTGACTGAGCAGAAGTGAATCTAATTATTTTCCTCAACTTTCATTTTTTAAGAAAAACTAATTAGCTACTAAGTAAATTATCAGAGGTTCCTCAAATTTTGATGTTCATGAATTAAACATCAGACCCTTGAAGCATGTACTGAGGATGAGGAGAAATATCTTGCTGTTAAGCGTGGCTGCTGGCAGTGCCCTGAGTGCGTGCTCCTGTGGGTTAACAGGCACTCCAACACTCTGGGATAGGTGCTTTGACCCTTGGTCTTGACTTATATTGGTCACGGTTCTCAATTGCTACTAATCCTGCCTTTTAATTAGTCTCTTCATTACTGGTTTACTTTGGTGTGGTTCATCTGGTTAATGTTATAGTGGGAAATAATACCTGTTGCATAGTTTCAATCTACAATTTCACACAAATTAGATTTTAAAACTTGCTCAACATCTAGCCCTGGCTCCCCCATATCTGCTTACAGGGAACTTTACAGGTAACATGCAGCCTGTGGACTGGGGCTACAACGTTTCATTGAGGCAGGAGTCCCTGGGTGGTGCAAATGGTTAATGAGCTTGGCAGCTGATCGAAAGGCTGCTGGTTACAGCCACCGCGAGGCTCCTAGGAAGAAAGGCCAAACTATCTACTTCAAAGAAATCAGCCACTGAAAATACTATGGAGCACAGTCCTACTCTGACACACATGGGGTTGCTATGAGCCAGTCAACTTGATGGCAACTGATTTATCAAAGTAAGCGTGATAAAATTACTGAGTTCAGTTTGCCAATACCTGATACTGTAAAATCACGTATAAAAGCTCTTAATTTCCTCTTTTTAAGCAAGTAATACACAATCAAACATGCTCCTCTCTAATTCTGTTATAAATACTTTTTCTCCTTGAAAAGGGGAAGAGATAGGATACGTGAACTGCAAGGTCTTTTGCCCCTCCCCTGAAAGGACCATTGTCAAAAAGTTAAAAAGCTTCTGTTTTACAGGATAACAAGAAATGTCATAAATAAGCATCAAAACAATCTTGCCTTTACCTTTCCATTCTTCTATTGCGTGCTCTCTTTCTTCCAACTGAGCATCATAAATTTGAGGTGGTGGCTGAAAATTAAATCACATGTAAAGTGAACAGTTCAAGAAATAATGAGGCACTCAAAAACAAAGATATAATCACTTGGAGGATTTCTATTCTACTTAGGATGTGGATTTACCTTCATTCAGTACAGAGTGTATTAAAGATTTTTTTTTCCATAAATGTGATATTGTATCAGTTTCAGAACCAAAACAATTCAGAAAAAATTAACCTAAGAAACACAGCTGTTAAGTTTCTTTTAATAATTATGTGACTTCAAAACACTCTGAAAGCCAACTATGTGAATGTAATCACAGAACAGATCATCACAGAGCAAGTCCTAGAGCAGCATCATGGAGCTGGTGCTGTGCCAGGGGCTTTGGGAGGCACAGTCCTCTTCTAGAGCATATCTGAGGTTTACATTTATCCCAAGCCCAATCCCAAGTCAGAAAAGGACTGTGACAAAAGTTTACTTATAAATCAGATGTTTGTAAATCAGATTCTTTTCATACAAAACAATGTTTAAAAGAGTATAAAATCCATAGGCCAAGACCTAAAAATGTGTTCCACTGATGGCATAAAGTAAGAGTGCCACACTACTGTTATTTCATTTATACCTAAAGATCAGTCACACCAGTGTTTCCATGGAAAAGTGTACCTGAGCGCCAAACTCAGAAGGGGAACTTGCCTGGCATGGGTAATGGCGGAGGCCTGGATGCCTTTGGGAAAAGATAAACAAACCTGTGATTTCCAGCAAGTCTCTTAATCTGATTGGGTTTTTAGATACGATGATACAAAACATCAACTACATGACAGGTGCTTTAATAAAAGGTTGATATTATCACATACCAACATTTTTTTGTTTTTGTTTTTAACTTTTACTGTGGTGAAAACATACACACACCAGCACTGGCATAAATGAAGACAATTACATTACCACAGTATAAGCATGTTCACGCTAAGGTACTCTGAATTACAGCCTCCAATAATAAGTACCCCTAAAAGGTTTTTTTTTTTTTTCTTTTCAGTTTAAAAGGGTTATGGGCCAGGTCATAGACCACGGTATGGGTTCTTTATAATCAGGAGCCCATTTACATCTAGGACTTGCTGTTCTTACGTAGCCATTCTGGATGAGCACACAGAAGGCCCCAGAAGTGTAGGTTCTGCCTATACATATAAGCCTTTTCAAAATAGATACTTACTGCTTCTGCCTCAGCAGGGTCATACCACACAGTGATATATGGGTGACGTAAAGCTTCATCTACAGAGATTCGCTTGTCAGGATCAATCACTAACATTTTTGACAACAAATCTCTGGCTTGACTTGCTAAGAGGGAAAACAAATATTACATTAATAAACTATTGCTCTTAATTTGGATGTAACAGAAATTACACAACACAAAAATAAATATGAGAACAGAAATACATTTCAAATTAGAAAATGTAGAAATTAACTTTGAATTAACTTTAACTTTGATTTTGTGAAAGGCTCAAGATACACAAAGCCTTCTACTTTAAGAAAAAGTCAAGCAGCTACTTCTTCTCCTTTTCAATGGGGTTTTATGCCTTTGGGTCTATGAGAGGAGGACGAATAACCTGAGTGGGAGGGAGGGTCCTAGGCAGCTCCAGACCAGTGCCTGGATAAGGGCCACTGCTGAGAAATCAGGGAAAGGGCAAGGAAAAGCTGGGTGGCACTGCCCAGAGGTCAGGCATGAGGCATGGGTGGGTACTTTTCTTGATGATACATCAAAATGAACTCAAAATAGAATTTTTAAACTAAACAATAATCTTATGTTCTTACAGTACAAAATATTACACATATGCCTCTGCTTAGCTATCTGTATACAATGTTGGCACGACATACACTTATTATTTTTTTTAAATCTAGAGACTAGAAGTGGTTAGAAAAAAAAAAAAAAACACCCAAAACTAACAAGTTCAATCATTTAGCTAAACATGAGGCTCACTCTGGCAACTGAAATTTAAAACATGTACAAGCAAAAAAGAAATTGGGACTTTTCTAATTAAGACTGTTTCCATTAATGTCAGAATATGAATATATTTTTTTCCTCTAAGCAATCACATTTTAGTAAAGGGCATAGGAAAAAGGGTTGGGAGAGATGAACTTCTTATTCAACTACTAAAATATGGTTTCTTCAACCTAAATACCCATCAATAGGTGAGTGGGATAACCAAATTATGGTACATGCACACAATTGAATACTATGCCACATTAAGAACAATGAGGGATACATGAATCATCTCACAATGTGGATGAACCTGGAGGACATTATATTGAGTGAAATAAGTCAATCGCAGAAAGACCATTACTGTAAAAAGACAAAGAAGGGTTTGCTTGGGAAAGGGAACTCACTTTGTAGGTTACCGGGGTGGAGAGGGAAGGGAGGAATTAATTTTGGGCTAGTTGGGGCCCACGCTGATGTGGATAAGGGGAGGGATATACGGAAAGGATCTATGACCACCATGATAACATTAGGAAATGGGAGAACACCAAATTGTGCACGTAAGAGATAGAAGACAGATGCTAATACCAATCAATGTGTCCACAATACTGCACTGCCATTAACACCAAACACCAGGCTACAGATAAACTCATAAACACCTGAGAGGATCAGATGGGGGTCAGTGAACAGGAAAATACTCTAGAGCAAGGATAGATTCAGCTGAGGCTAATCTTGCACAGACACCAGTGATACAAAATACCTGCAATCCTTACAGAAACAATAGAAGACAGACACAGAGTAATCCCTCAGACACCCAGACAATGTGGAACAGAGATCCAATAGATCTACTGCCTCAGGACCATAGTACTGGGGGACACCAGACTCAATTGGCACAACAAAATACATAAAAGCCTTGTTCTGCATCTTACATTGGTGAGTAGAGACTGGGGTCTTAAAAGCTTTCAAGCATCAACAAAGATGCAGAAGACCTAAATAATACAATCCACCAACTTGGCCTTATAGACATCTATAGAGCACTTCACCCAACAGCAGCACAATATACATTCTTCTCCAGTGCACGTGGAACTTTTTC